TAGTCCAAAACAATAAACGTGTATATACAGTATAACTGTAATATCGCACTTGACTTGAATAGATCAAGCTTTTTGTACCTTCTTTTTGGTGTTATGGAAAAGCATGACCTTCTTCTCTGAATGTTCACTAAATTTGTGTGAACTGTTCCTTGCATATTCTGTCAAGCAAACTGAGTGTGTAGTTATATGGAAATATCACAGGTATTTGACTAGTTTGAAGTATTAAACCTGCCCAATATAAATAGTTAGATTCAAGTAAAGAAACATACGTGGTATATTCCTGGCTTTGATCACAGGTGAATCTCTGTCATTATCATCGTCAAACTCCACAGCAACACCACTGCACTGGGCCCCCTCTGTTCTGAGAGACATCCTGTGTGAACAGCATGACTGTATTAGAATCAGGTTAAAAGATTGTAAATGCATAAATTGTTCAAAATAAATACATAAAGAAAATTTGACATGGTTGTCATGAACTACAACGAGGCTTGATATATACAAACGTGTTTAAAAAACAAAAAACAATTATTTGAAAATAATAATAAAAAATAAAATTATTATAAAATAATTATTAAAAATAGTTATAAACATCCTAAAATATATGCAATCATTAGTCAATTGTAAATAATGTTTAGTTAATCATGTGTCACATTTTAAATATGTGTATAGTTTTCTATCACATCTAATAAGTACTATGTACATAGTACAATATTAAATATAAGTAATTAATTTAGCATAATCCATGGCCATGAATTCATTTTCAGTTATTATACACTACCGTTCAAAAGTTTGGGGTTAGTAAAATTTGTAATGTTTTTCGAAAGACGTCTCTTATGCTCACCATGGTTGCATTTATTTGATTAAAAATACTGTGAAAACAGTAATATTGGGAAATATTGATACAATTTAATATAACCGGTTTCAATTTTCAGTTTATTCCTGTGATGGTAAAGCTGAATTTTCAGCATCATTACTCCAGTCTTCAGCGTCACATGATCCTTCAGAAATCATTCTAAAATGCTCATTTGTTGCTCAAGCAACATCTCTAATTATATACCAATTATTATTAATAACTTCATTTGAAACTTAATATTCTTGTGGGGACTGTGATAATTTTTCTTTTAGGATTCTTTGAGGAATAACGACAGTGGGAAATTCGAAAGAACAGCTTTTATTTGAAATATAAATTTTGTAACATTATTAATGTCTTTACTGTCATTTTTGATCAATTTAACGCATCTTACTGACCTAAAAACCTTTCAACAGTAGTGTATTTAAAAAAAAAGAACAAAAATATATTATTGCAAAAAAATATATTACTAAAGTATACTGTGAGTTTTGTTTGCTTTTTGAACTTTTTTTTTCTTTACAATGTATAATCACAATTTGAGTGAGAATTTGATTTGGAAAATGAATATGAATTTTGTGTGAAACCTGATGATCATGATTTGAAAATGAACCAGAGAGCATCTTGAGCTTCAACAGAACCAAGAACATCTGACTGCCACATGATCAAGATTACAAATTTGATTGACCTGATTAAACTGTACAAAATATGAAAGATTTCTTCACCATTTTGCATCATAAATTGATTCCCAGGCTTTCAGTGTGACCTCAAGCCTTTAAGACCCAACCGTACACATAATATTAAAATACTAAAGCCAAGAAAGACAGGTAGAAAAAAAAATCACCTGATATTTGACTCCTCCTTTGAGTCCTCCTTGCTATGAGCGCTTGCTGTGTCTCAAGGTTGTGCTATCCATGTGTCCCAGGTAAGGATGCTTGTATGCAGGCCTGAATTCCAGCAGTCATACTGTGAGGGGCTTGATAACATCATAGTGCATGAGGGCACCATTGTATGAAACTGCCAGAAAAGCAGAACGAGTCACAGGCTGACAAAGGCAGCCAGCATATTCCACAGCACGTGACAGCAAAGGGGGACAATGTCACCGTTCACCCCCCACACCACTAAAAAAGACCTTCCTGTCACTCAAATCTCATACACACACACACACTCATATAGTAATAAAACACTCGACATACTCATTCAACACATCAACATTGATGTTTGCATTTAGATATGTTAATTTTTATTGCCATGGCCTGATATGATTACATATTTAAGCAATTAATAATCAGTCAAAACAGGTTTTATGGCCATCATTCGCAAAGTGCTGTTTAAACAATGATCATATTATGGACATCCGAACAATATCTGAACAAGATATTTGCATGCAGCACCTTGAACCCTTCAGATTAACTTATATATAATAACTAGTGCTGTCAAATGATTAATTGCGATTAATCGCATCCAAAAGTTTTTGTTTAAATAATATGTGTGTATACTGTGTATATGTATTATGTATATATAAATACAAAAACATGCATGTATATATTTAAGAAAAATATGTTATGTTTATATATGAAATATATTTATATATAATATAAATGTATATACATGTAAATATTTTTGTTTGTGTATTTATATATATACATGATAAATATACACAGTACACATACATAATATATTATGTAAATAAAAACTTTTATTTTGGATGTGATTAATCACGATTAATCGTTTGACAGCACTAATAATAACATATAATGAATGCTGTTTATCTCAGCACACTTCAGATAACAAAACAATAAAATTGAAAAGTCCTACAAGTTTTGACCTACAAATTCTTCTGTAATTGTATTGCTGATTTTTTATTTGTAAGTATGTTATAGTCTACCACTTATTGTTAGACCAAAGAACATAATTCATCTCAAATTAGTGGATTTAGTGACCCAGATGTTTCATAAAAAAGGGGAACTTATCTTCACATTATTAAAAGCTGCTACATGTTGATTATCCTGACCACCATAAATAGATGTGCTTTACTTACTATGTTGCTCAGAAAACGTATGGTGCTTAGAAAAACAAAATATCTCAAATGCACCACTTATAATTCACACATTTTGATGATGTTAACACTTTCCTGCTCTTTTTAATATAAATGCTGAGTCTGACAACACGTTCATTTCCCCTTTTGTTAAGAGGAGGAAAGTCTTGTAAATGGATTAGTCTTTTATTGTTTATATATTTATGTTTGCCTGGTGATAAATTTCACCAGGAAGCAATCTGTTAAAAATTGTTCTGTTTTTGCGTTTCAACTGGTTAAATATCACCTATTGATATGAGAACAGTTCCTCGGTGCTCTAAATACACATGATATGCCTGATATTATAAGGGCTCTTAAAGGGGTCATATGATGTGATTTCAAGTTTTCCTTTCTCTTTGGAGTGTTACAAGCTGTTCGTGAATAGATAAGATCCCTAAAGTTGCAAAGACTAAAGTCTGAAACCCAAAGAGATATTCTTTATAAAAGTTAAGCTCGTCCACGCCCTCCTAAAACGCCTCGTTTAAACACGCCCCCACATGTCTACGTCACGATGTGGGAAAATTTGCATAACGCCACCCAAATGTTCACACAAAGAAAAAAGGCGTAACTTTATTGTTGCTGCTACTGCCGCCGCCATGTTGTGAAGACGCTGTGTGTTTCCTTGCGAAAGCGAAAATACTTAGTTTGGCCTTCCAAAAGAGGATACGACTAGAAATCAGTGGTTAAGTTGTATTTACAACACTGTTCCAAAACACTTCAACCCAAATATTGAGATGTGTGCAGCGCATTTTATGGATGACTGTTTCCTGATCCTGGTAGAGTAGACTACAATGTGTAGAGTAGCGCTTGTTGTTTGTCCTTTCTCCGATCACAAATGCAGACTTAGTTTTATGTTTCCGCGGCGCGATGCAACATAACACGTAAAAAGACAGTATAAGTCATTATAATCAGTAATTATGTCCCCACTGGATGCAACAAATGCCTCGTTTATAATTGGTTTTATTGGTTTTGCCTCGTCGTGCCGGGACACAGCATCAAAGTATGCTAAGGGGCGTAACATTTCCGTCACACGCTTGAGGTATTCCGCCAATCACAACGCACTGGATAGCTGGCCAATCACAGCACACCTTGCTTTTCAGAACGATGAGCTTTGTAAAAATCGACCCGTTTCAGAAAGGTGGGGCATAGAGGAGAAACAATAATGTACAGTATGTGGAAAATAATGTGTTTTTTTAACCTTAAACCGCATAAACACATTTCATTACACCAAATACACAAAATAATGTTCTTTTTAGCAACACCATATGACCCCTTTAATACAACCTCAGTTGCTTTAATGGTGTCTCAGAGCCTGATGTTTGCAGGATTTCATTTAATATCAATAAAAAAAATGTACAGTACTGTCCTAATGGCTGATTCCAAAAAGTATGAATAATAATCAGATTATGAGACAATTATGCAATGAGACAAATAATTTTTTTTTATTACAGATAAATATTTATTGCACTTGCAAGAAACATGGCCATATATTCCTCTCAAAATCAGTGAATCTTGAGGGGAGGGGAGGGGCAAAAAAAGATGTTTGGGTCAAATCAAATGAGTCAAAAAAAGTTTCTCAAAAATCAAAATTAGTTGGCATTATTTGTTAGAAAAAATAAATACATTTATCTATAAATTAAAAAAAATGTCTCTGCTATATGCAACTACCAAATATGGCACATAATTATCTTATTATTTTCCTTATCATGCTAATTTTGCATATATTTTCAATTACATATTACTCATATAATGAGCCATTTTTAATTTTTTTCAGCAGGCCCTAATTAATATCTTACTTTTACCATACACTTCTAGTAAACGTTGCTGTGTTATGGCAATTTGGAAAACAAAAGCTGGAACCACTGACATATTGGACGAATATTTGGACAAAATATTTTTAAGGGACAATGGCAACAAAAAATAAATAAAAAATAGCAATATTCCATCAGTTCTGGAAAAGACATTTTTCTAACCTATGAACGTATAAAACTACAGAACTTTGAATTGGATCTCATGTGTAGAAGGTCAGATTTCTGTGACTTTTTGTGACTTCAGCTCTTCATCCTGTATATGAACTTTATACGATACAGAATCAATTTCTTGAACTGGGGCACTGGGATGTTTCTTGCAGCAGTATTCTCGTATGGCTCTGAAAACAGCAGTGCCGGGTACAGACAAACTAGGGATCCCAGCCAGGAGAAAGATTATTACATAGATCCATGATGGATATGGCTTCTTCTCTAGGGTTGGAAAGTTTTCCTGTATGAGAACAAGATCATTTAATTAATTCCAAATGAATGCTCTACAAATTACAATTTTTTGTAACAAGAATCAGTTTATGTTAAACAATTTATTAAACTTCACCGATTCAGGGTCCCAGGCGATGTAGAAGATTTCCTTGGTGACGATGGTGGAGAAGTAGAAGATGAAGATGGCTAACATGATGAGGGGACTAATGACTCTCCATGTGGCTTGCCAGAAAATGTTAGGCTTATGTCCAATCATGAATATCATGTCTTCATTGAACCTGTTCATAAACAGAAGATAACATCATTTATGGCTGATTTCAGTGAGCTTTATCTAAACAATAAAGTCATAAATGTATTTTCTAGTCACTGTGAAAACACCCATGAATTGCTGATACGTGGTTAAACTGTTCTAAGGGCAGTACTAAGATGTAACTCGTCTATGTCCTATAACCAATTCTAATCATCTTGTTTTGTAATAGTTGACCCAAAAATGAAAATCTGCTGAAAATGTATACTGAGCCCATCCAAAAATGAGTTTTTTCATCAGAACAGTTTTGGAAAAGTTTAGCATTACATCACTTGTTCACTAATGGACCCTCTGCAGGGAATGGGCGGTGTCAGAATAACATTTACAATTACATTTACATTTAGGCATTTAGCAGACGCTTTTATCCAAAGCGACTTACAAATGAGGGCAACAGAAGCAATCGAAACCAACAAAAGAGCAATAATATGTAAGTGCTATGACAAGTCTCGGTTAGCCTAACACAGTACACGTAGCAATGTTTTTTTATATATTAAATAAAAAGATAACAAGTAGATAGAAAAAGAATAGAGAACATTAGTGTTTGAGGGTCTCTTTTTTTTTACAAAAAAGAAAAGTCAAAATAATAGAAAAAGAATTGAGAATACTATAGTATTAGAGGCTCTATTTTTAAATAAAAGAAAGCAAGTATTTTAAAAAGTGCAAGTGTTAAAGGGGTATTGTATGTGTGCAAGTGGTATTGTAAAGAGTGCGAGTAGAGAGAATAGAAATAGAATAGAGAGTGCTAGTATTAGAGGGTCAAGTAAAGATGGAACAGATGTGTTTTTAGCCGTTTCTTGAAGATGGCTTATATATAATATAAGAAGATGAATATATAATATGAATAAGAGTCCAAACAGCTGCTAAAAACATCACAATAATCAACAAGTAATCTACATGACTCCAGTCCATCGATTAATGTCTTGTGAAGCCCCTATTATGATGCTTTTATCAGATATTTGGGCTCTCATTCTGACGGCACCCATTCACTGCAGAGGATCCATTGGTGAGCATGTCTCCAAATCTGTTTTGTTGAAGACAGTGCTGTTTCTAGGCATAGGCAAGCTAGGAGGTCGCCTAGGGGGCCACCAGCAGGAGGGAGCACCAATGAGCGCATGTACTGGTGCTATATTTTAGCAGGGTTGTGATGAGTGGCACGGCCACCCTGAAATATGTAATATGAAATATATGATTGCCGCCCCCACTGGATCCCCCAAGATCATTGGGCTACAGTACTGTCATTCTGACAATGCCTGTCTGCCAGTGGATCAGAGCGCTGTCAATTGCTGCCTGATTGTTGCATGCAAAGTTTGCATTGGAGCGCTCAGCAACATCATTAGATCAGTGGGTTCTGTCAGTGCTTTGTCATGGTAAGGCTTTTTTTGCCATGCAATAAAGCCAAGTTCAAAGGCCAATTTAAAATATTGGTACAATAAAAAGTGCAAGAAATCAGTCCAAAATGTGTACGTTTTCGTGCCAATGCATTGATAAAGGATCAGCGTGTTGTGCAATATTCCCAACAAACTTTAACAGGCAATTAAAAAATATTGGTGTAGTTAATAGGACCAGCATCATACACATAGAGGTCAGGGTGTCGCGTTTTTTATAAGGGAAGTTCACACATTAATGAGTAACAAAGGAACAAGTAGCTGCATTCTGATTACTTTTATGCCACTGATCGCTTTGTCATGGTAAGGCTTTTTTTGCCATGCAATAAAGCCAAGTTCAAAGGCCAATTTAAAATATTGGTACAATAAAAAGTGCAAGAAATCAGTCCAAAATGTGTACGTTTTCGTGCCAATGCATTGATAAAGGATCAGCGTGTTGTGCAATATTCCCAACAAACTTTAACAGCCAATTAAAAAATATTGGTGCAGTTAATAGGACCAGCATCATACACATAGAGGTCAGGGTGAATAAAATTAATTTATGTGTGATGACAATTTCTGCTGCATTCTGATTACTTTTATGCCACTGATCAGGCTTTTATATGTAGTTTGAGGTAACAAAGGGTTTTATATTTGACTGAAATAATGCAATAACTGACAAAACAACTGAACAAAAAACAGATATAGACAAAAAGTAGCCACTGATAATATCTAAACATGTATCCAAATCCAAATGGAATAAAATTAATTTATGTGTGATGACAATTTCTGAGAAACTGGGGATTGTTACATAGAGCTATACTGGCATCCAGTGGCTATAATGGTATTACAGATAATAAATTGTGCAAAATGTTTATCCTAACAGTCAATTTGCAAATAATGCATTCATATTTGTGTAAATCACAACACACTGAATCTCCACAAATTAGTGTCGTTACTATGACAACCAATTTGAATGTGACAAGAAACTGATGTTTGAAAAGAAACTATAATAACCTATATGCAAATATAGTTTGGAAATGTATCAAGGTTGTTATTTAAGATTTGAGTGTTTACATAATCAGTTTTATGTTATTTTGTATGTTATCTTATATTTTCTTGTTTGGGAGTGGAGTGGGGGTGGGGATGGTGCTTATAGGGATTTCGCCTAGGGCGTCAAAATGGCTAGAAACATCCCTGGTTGAAGAAACAAATTCATCTACATCTTGGATGGCCTGAAGTGAGTACATTTTCAGCAAATTTTAATTTTGGTGAACTATTCTTTTAAATACAATTTACCTGCTAAACTTAGGCTCAAACCTACCTGTCTATCCCATAGACATACACAACTCCAATCATCTCAGAGAAAGCAATGACGAGGAGAGGAATCGATCCAGCAAAGCTGTCAAACAGGGCAAGCCAATAGTTCCCTGAGCCCTGAACAAATATCAACCCAACCAGGCAGCACACCAAGCACGTTACCCCTGTTGTGAACAATGAAGAGAGAAATTTAAACTACTTCTGAAACAATATCATCACTTGGATGGAGGTACGTAAAATCTGCAATGAATTCTTCGTATTATGATGGTCACAAAGTAGGTCTACTATACATACCTGAAATGACCTCTTTGGGCCAGCTTTTGGGAAAGACCTTCAGGTCCTGCAGGGGAACCAGAACACCCTCAATGTTGCCAAACATGGAGGACAGGCCGAGACAGAAGAGCATGATGAAGAACAGAACGGACCAGAGTGGAGACAGTGGCATCTTGGTGATTGCCTCAGTGAACACAATGAAGGCCAGACCTGTTCCTTCTACACCCTGTGAAAGTGTGAAGTTACTGGATTATTTCAGTTCCTTAATGCTGTATTAAAATATTTGGGATTAGTATTTTTTAAAGAAAGAAATAAAGTATTACTTTTATTAAAAAATGATACATTGAAAAAAAAAAAAAAAAACAGCATATGTTGGTTAGTATGTTCTTTTTCATAGGTTCCCTCAACGCTGTGTAGCTTTACGCAATGGGAACACCTCCCAGTTGTGACGATTATCTGAAGCCTGTATAGAATCACGCCAATTCATTGGCTGATGGTGTGAGATACCACCCCTACATCATACGTAATTGACATAGACCCGAGCTCGCGCCATCTTACACCTCAGATTTTCCTCTTCAGAAGCATTCGCTTCTCGTGGTTTTTCTGGCCCATTTCTCGGCGTGGTTTTAGTTTTGGATTCTTTCCACTTCAGTGACCGCATCTGTGGAATATTATTCTCCGAGTGGTGAGTGGAATGGACTTTCGTCGGTGCCAGCCACCGTGCTCTCGTCTCATCGTGAGTGACGACCAACACGGTAAGTGCGTCAGATGTGTGGACCTGGCCCATGCACGAGACGCTATCTTTGGCATTTCAAACTGCAAGTGCTGCGAGAATTTAACTCTTAAAACCTTGCGCGTTAGACTCAAGGTTTTTGATCATGAATCTGCCGTTCTCTATCGCCGCGCCGCTACTGAGGCCTCCTCCCTCCGCGAAGCCGCGGCCTGGAGTTCGGATGTGGAGTTCGAGGCTATGGAGAGTGAGCAGTTTCCACTTTCTCTCCCTCCATCGTCATCGTGTGGATTATCTGGAAGAGTTTTCTCGTGGCTGTCCTGCGCCCAACCCGGAGGTATGGGAAGCCGTTTCCTTCGGGATAGAGGATGCTTTGTTTACTGTGGCCTCCAACTTTGAGGATTTCCCCTATACAGAGCTAGTAGACGTTTTAGCACATGCCACTAAGAAGTTGTGCTTAGCTTGGCCGGGCAGGCCTCGCGAGTTCCAGTCATCTAAGCTTGACGAGCATTTCCTCAGTGGCTCTGGCTTGCGCCCGGTGAGGAGTAAGTTGCCTGTCTTCCCTGACCTTCCCCCGTCTCACTAATGCGGTGGCCGGTGACTTCACCAACCTCGTTGGTTTTGTGGAGCAGGGGTACGCCGCAGTCCCGGTGGTCGAGGACATGCTCGCTGCACACCTCTCACCGACTCCTGCCCCCTCGTGGAAGTCCCGCCCTCTCCTCCCGTCTAAGCCTTGTAGGACCACTACCGCTTTGATCGGTAATTCCTACATGGTGGCGGATATTCAGGTGTGGCTCTTCACACCATGGCCATCCTTCAGGCCTACCAAGTGGAGGTGCTGAAGGAGATGGACGAGGGGGACGGTGTGACCGCTGAAGCTGTTACCGTCGTGCTACTAAGCACACAGCGCAGGCGGTTGGACGCAGTATGGCAGGTTTGGTGGCGGCTGAGCGTCACCTGTGGCTAAATCTTATGGAGATCAGGAAGAAGGAGAAGGTTTTCCTTCTTGACACCCCAGTCTCCAGCTCTGGCTTATTCGGCGAAGCAGTTAATGCCATCGTCGATAAGTTCAGAGCTGCCAAAACACAGTCGGCTGCGTTTAAGCAGTTCATGCCATGGCGTGCACATGAGCCAGCCACTGCTTCGTCCTCCAGGGAGTGCCCAGAAGTCGGTAGAGTGAGCGACCTGGCGCATCCCCCACTGTACACGGTCTGGGGAGCTCGTACTCGTTCCTCTACTTACCAGCGCCCTCACAAGGGGGTAGATTTGAAGCACTCGAACAAGCCCCCCGCGGCGGCTTCTTCGGGTAGCTCCTGATATGCGTATCAGGAAGAGGAGAGCTTCCCCCGCCTTGTTGGATTGTGACAGACCCCTGAAGTGTATCTGTCCATCCCCTAGATGCTCTCCTCCTCCAACTGCTGCATCCTCACCGCTAGATGTACCTTGAGGAGCGCAGGCCATTTTCCCGCTTTGGTGATCGTTGAAGGTTGGAGACACTCAAGGTTTTCTCCCCTCAGGGTTGCTGCAAGCATTGTTTGCGCTGTGAGGGACTCCCAGCCCTTTCTCCCCGCGTCAGCATCTCCTGACCTTGGCTTTACGGCCTCATCAGGTCATGCCCCCGTGCACGAGGATGCTGTGAGCTGTCTTTTGCTTTGGCCGGATGCATGTCCCTCCCTTCAGAGGGATGTTCAGAGCGGGGACCCCGTGTTGGCATCCCTCTTGAACTGTTCCACCCTGCTACCTCTGTCGGCCTTCCTGCAGTGAATAGCGCCGACGAGCTCAAGCTCATCCCAGCGGTCTTGTGCAGGGTGATGACATGCGGAGTCCGCCTTCTCCTAGTAGCCCTGTTCTGGCCTTCCCAGATGTGGTTCTCGGAGTTGGTCTCCCTTCTGGAATGCGATCCGTGGGAGATTCCAATCAGGAAAGACCTGTTGTGTCAGCTCCAGGGCAGAATTTGGCTCCCACGTCCAGAGATCTGGAAGTTGTGGGTATGGCCGATCTGAGATTGCCCATAGCCTTTGATCTCTTAGATGGAGTCCGTGAGACCATTAATAGTGCCAGGGCTCTTTCCACTAGGAGGCTATATTCCTCCAAATGGAGGGTTTTTGAATCCTGGTGCTCGGCTCATGCTGTGGACCCAGTCAGCTGCCCAGTTATTTCAGTGCTGGAGTTCCTGCAAGAAAAGTTTTTGGCTGGAGTGGCCGCTACCACCCTGAGAGTCTACGATGTCCCGCTGAGTAGACATCGTTTGATCTCCTCCTTTATGCGTGGGGATAAGCGCTTGAGGCCGGTTCGTCGACCTAGTTTCCCTTCTTGGGACCTTTCTGTTGTCCTGAAGGAGTTGCTGGAGCCTCCTTTTGAGCCTCTAGAGTTAGCTCCCGAGAGGATTCTGACACCAAACGTTACACTTTTGTTGGTGTTGGCCTCTTTAAAGCTTTTAGGGGACTTGCAGTCTCTCTCTGTCAGCGAGTCCTGCATTGAGTTCACTCCTGGTCTGGTCAAGGCATTCTTGAGACCCAGACCTGGTTATGTCCCCAAAGTTCTCTCTATGTCTTTTCATTCACAGGTGGTAGTGTTGCAGGCTTTCTCTCCCTCCTCTTTGAGTGAGGACGGTAATCTTCATCCGCTCTGCCCTGTCAGGGCCCTGAAGATGTACAGGTGCATCTCAATAAATTAGAATGTCATGGAAAAGTTCATTTATTTCAGTAAGTCAACTCAAATTGTGAAACTCGTGTATCAAATAAATGAAATGCACACAGACTGAAGTAGTTTAAGTCTTTGGTTCTTTTAATTGTGATGATTTTGGCTCACATTTAACAAAAACTATTTCAACAAATTAGAATACTTCATAAGTTTTCAATTTTTAAAGTCTACATTTGTGAGCCAAAATCATCACAATTAAAAGAACCAAAGACTTAAACTAATTCAGTCAGTGTGCACTGAATTTATTTAATACACAAGTTTCACAATTTTAGTTGACTTTTTGAAATAAATGAACTTTTTCACGACATTCTAATTTATTGAGATGCACCTGTATGTGGACTGTTCCAGTCAGTGGCGTAAGTCCCTACAGTTGCTGGTGTGTTTTGGTGCAGGCCGCAGAGGGCTAGCCACATCAAAGCACATGATTTCCCACTGGGTTAGGGAAGCTATTTCGAAGGCCTACGAGGTGCGCAGTCTGCCTTCACCACTAGACGTCAGGGTTCATTCCACCAGGGGGGTGGCTTCCTCCTAAGCTTTGTTTAGAGAGTTTTCCCTGTAAGATATTTGTATGGCGGCAGGTGGGTCCTCTCCCCATACTTTTGTGAGGTTCTATAAGCTTGATCTGAACAGCTCCTAGCTCCCAGGTTCTTCTGTTTGAGCCAGCTGTGTTTTAGTGTTCTGGTCTGTAATGGGCAAGACCTGGCAGTGCGTTAGCTTGGCGTGTGTGGTATATCGTTCCCATTGTGTAAAGCTACGCAGCGTTGAGTGAACCTATGAAAGAGAACGTCTCAGGTTACTTAGGTAACCCATGTTCTCTGAGTAGGGAACAAGACGCTGTCTCTGCTTGCCAAGCTCCTCACGCTGTCGCCCTGCTTACCTGACAGGTTTATGTCAATTACGTATGACGTAGGGGCGGTATCTTGCACCATCAGCCAATGATTTGGTGTGATTCTATATGGGCTTCAGACAATCGTCACACCTGGGAGGTGTTCCCATTGTGTAAAGCTATGCAGTGTCTCGTTCCCTTCTCAGAGAACATGGGTTATGTAAGTAACCCAAGACGTTTTGAAGCATGCTAGCTGGTTTGAGCTCGATTAAGCTGTTCCCACAAAATCATGGTTTCCACAAAAATATATCTGTTTTCAACATTGATAACAATAAGAAATGTCTTGAGAAGCAAATCAACACTGAAGACTGGAAAAATGGCTACTAAAAAGGAATAAATTACATTTTAAAATATATTCAAATAGGAAACAGTAAAATTAAACATACATGTCCATGGTGCAAACATACATTTCCATGGTGCTAATGTAACCTTACATTAGAAGTTGTTTGTACAATAGTAATAATAATAATTATTATTATTAATGGCTGCAATATAACAAAGAGTGAAAAATTTAAGGGGGTCTGAATACTTTCCGTACCCACTGTGTTTAATTTTAATGTTTATTTAATTTTTACACTGGTATCACTCATTCGTATACTGTACCTCACTGAGGAAGCTGTTTAGATCACAGGTTTTAAGATGGAGGTTGCTGATAATATCAGGGTTTGTACTATTAAGGCTGTAGAGAACCTCTTGATAGTTGTTCTGAGTGATGTTTCCTTCTGGCAGATCAAATGTGTTCAGAAGAGTCAAGATGTTTCTGCAGGACAAAGTTAAGATAAGTGCTTCAGAATGGAGTTTAAATGCATTAAAACACTATTGTAATATTTTAAGAATAGTTCATGCATTAGGTATCAAAAATAAATAACTTTTATTAATCTTGGTTAATTTATATTTTATAAATATTTATAAATGTATAAATGTTTAAGAAATGTTATTATGAAATAATATTAAAAAATATAAACTTTTCATGTTAAAGGTCCCCTGAAATGCTTAGAGAAACACAGCCTTACTCTATGTGTTGACGTCATTTTAACTGAAACAAGAAGACAGGGCGGGACATATCAAGCAGCCCCGCCCCTTTTTAAAATAGCCAATAGTGTTCGTTTATATCACAGCTTGGGCTAGAGCCGTTCAGAGCCGTTGAGCTCCGCATTTGACAGGGTATTTCCAGCCACAATTTCATCCATATTGCTAAAAAATATAGCATTCTGTGTTGAATTCAAATAGCTCCGATACATTTTGTGGTCTGCGCCGATTTGTGCATGTGATCCGCTCCATGCTATCGTGTCTCTGGACCGGAGCAGAGTGTGTGTGCGATGCGGTGGTTAGCGTGACACAACGCGAAACCAGACTTCTTTTTTTTTCTCAATGGAAAGCATATTTACACTGTTTGAATCGCTCCCTGTCCCCTATATAGTGCACTACGTGCCATTCGGCTTCAGTGTCTATTTTATAGTATAGGGGCAGGCGCTTCGGATTCTAGAGAGCATTTGATTGGACAGAAAGCTTGATGAGAAGCTGAAGTACGATGTGACGTCAAAAAAATCGTTGAGCCGTTTTTGCGGAGGTGACGAACTGCTAGCTTTGAATGCTTACATCTTCTAAACGCGAATTTTCTCACTGTTTTGGAGCACACTGCCTTATAGATCACCTTAAGACTAACATATTGAATCGTTCCCTGTCCCCTATATAGTGCACTACGTGCCATTCACTGTACAGAAAATACTAATTCTGTGGACAAGTGACCGATTTCAGCCGCGGCTTCAGCGTCTATTTTATAGTATAGGGGCGGGCGCTTCGGATTCTAGAGAGCATTTGATTGGACAGAAAGCTTGATGAGAAGCTGAAGTACGATGTGACGTCAAAAAAATCGTTGAGCCGTTTTTGCGGAAGTGACGAACTGCTAGCTTTGAATGCTGAGAAGCTGTAAATGCGAATTTTGTCACTGTTTTGGAGCACACTGCCTTATAGATCACCTTAAGACTAACATATTGATACTAACGCCCAAAAAACTTTCATTTTGATTTCATGGGGACTTTAAATATAAAAGTATTAAAGTATAGTAGTTTATGTAGAACTAACATTAATCAAGATTAACAAATACTGTAACAAATACAAGTATTGTTCATAGTTAATTTTTGCAGTAAATGTGGTAACAATGCATAGTATTAGTTACAATAGTCTTTTGATAAAAAAAAAAGGTCAAAGTATCAACAATCGAGTCAGTCAAGTGAATGTCTCCATACTTATCTGTGGAATTGTCATGAATCACTTTTTCCCAAAACAGAAGGTCAGATGATATTGTTGTGACACAAACACTCACCCACTCAAACAGTCATCAAATCTCTCTGTAGCTCTGAAACCAATAATGCTGTAGATGACAGTGGCAGCGTAGATCGAGGTAAAGGCGTTAATGATGGAGATGATTACTGCATCTTGCTCACAATTATTGCTGATGGAAAGAGAAAGAATAATGAATCTGTTAATCACTGAGGTGTCTGCATTAAACTTTGGGTGGGATTTTCAACTGATCATAAGAATAAACCTCCTAGAGACCAATGTCTTATTTTTCACCACAATAAAAGGCTTTATTTTACAAAAAACAATCAAAACATTATATATGTGTATACGTATATAGTGTAAAAGTAGCCTCAACTCACAAAAACACTTAAAACATGAACTTACTGCACAGAATTGTAGCTGGAGAAGGAGATGAGACCTCCAAAAGCCAGAGAAAATGAATAAAACACTTGTGCACCTGCATCTAACCATGTGGATGGGTTTGCTAACTCGTTTAGCTGCAAAACACACAATTTTGTGTTTTATGAGAGTACTGGTTGTATTAGAACTTATGAAAGTTGAATTTGTTTGATTTTGACTCTCACATCTGGAGTGAAGAGGAACTTAATGCCATCAACGGATCCTTTCAGAGTCAGTCCTCTGATCAGGAAGATTGTAAGAACTACATATGGCAACGTAGACGTCACATAAACAGCCTTTAAAGAGAAAAGAGAAGAGAAAATCAACCTTAATGTGAGTGTGAATATCATATCTGATGACAGATACTTTAGGTATGGCACAGTGAGTTCAAACTTTATGTTTTGTGGCTCTTGATTTAGCGATAAACACTTTGACATTCTGGAATTATAATCCTTTTTATTGCAACAGTTAAAGCAAAACTGTCTGCTTAATTGTTCACAAGAGCTATAAAGCTGTAAAGCTGTTCTGTGCTGGAAATTTTTACAAGCATATGTCCTTACAGTACGTCACTGTGATCTTTATTCTTTATTTCAACATTCATTTATAGCATTCTCATGATATAAAAAGGTATAACCTTTGACAACTGTATTGAGTACTGTTTTACTGGTAAAGCTGTCTTACTTGAGCATTAATGATTACAGATTAGCAAACGGCTTCCCAACATTTTTGTCAGTTGAACTCCTTAGACGTAAAATATTTATTTTAAATACCCCTTGAGATTTTAAGTTAATATTTCAATAATTTAATGTCACATTCACATTATTTTCTAATAATTTTAAATGTTAAAATTATTTATAGAAATGTTTTAATAGAAATTATAGAAATTATTATATGTACATTTATAGAAATGTACATATATATGGCTATAATTATTGTTGTTGTTGTTTTACTCTAATTATAAAAATTAAGATATAAATATATTACCATTTTAAATTACAATTGTCCGGTAGAATAAAAAATGATAATACTTGACCCTTACACAAAGAAAATATATTTCCTTAAATATTAGCAATCATATATATCAATAATATATGAAATTATTTATTGTATGGGTCAATATCACTGTAGGGTGCCTTTTGGTGTCCTGTACATAAATAACTAATTTGCCATGATAACGTAATATAAAAATGACTATGAAAGGGTGTGTTATATTAGGCTAAGTTTTTATATTCATAACAAAAGCATTACTTTACTCTTTAGATACTTTTTTTTAGTTTTGTGTAAGAGGATGCGTGCTATTTTGCTATGTCCCATGCACTGCTCATGTTACTGCACATGATAAATGTGACATCATTCATAAATATATTGTAAATATGCTTCAGATTCTGAAATATTCTTGTTTTCCATCAGTGCTGTTATTAGAGCAGCTCTACCTTTCCAGTCGTCTCTATTCCGCGGATGCAGCAGACGTACAGCACTCCCCAGGCCGAGATCAGACAGAGGATCATCCACCACTGCAGACCTCCTGTCTCATCTATAGCCGCTGAGGTGTTCAGAGTCTCACGATACCAGAAATAGTCCACAGGTGAGCTCCTCTCACACTCCGAAACCAGTCCTGCCAATAATCAATGTCCATGATAGCATTTTTACAAACACATTCAGAATTTAGTTCCTCCTCACGGTGCTCATATACTGTACCTGTCCTGTTGGCATTGATGGGACACTGGCTCCAAGGCAGAGGCTCCTGGAAGGAGTTGAAGAAGTACCACATGACCCAGGCTATGATGGTGTTATAGTACAGACTGACCAGAAAGGACACACACATAGATGCAATACCTGCAACAGAACGGGAAGTAACCTACTTAGATCACATACTCAACATGGACACATTACTTACAAATCATTCATTCGTTCATTAAAATTAGAAATGTCTTTACTCAATTTATTTCATTCTATATTTAATACGATATTTAATATTGAGCTCACCAACTCCAAGCATGTAGGGGTTAATAGTTCTCCACACCCCAACGCTTCCTTTCCTTAGCCGCTGACCGATGGCAAACTCCAGATGGAGAAGAGGGATTCCCTCAAAAACCAGCAGGATTAGGAAGGGAATCATGAAGGCCCCTGAAAGAAAAGAAATATTATTTTCATTAGCATGTAATATGTTACTGATGCTTGTCAGGTCTTGTGGTTTGTGTTTTCCACCACAGATGTGTCATCAATACAACTACAAATACATTTTGCATACTGTTGAAGTCAATGGGGACACCAACTGCATATTCTTCAAAATATCTTCTTTTATGTTGAACAGAGGAAAGAAATTCATACAGGTTTGGAACAACTAGAGGGTGGGTAAATGATGACAGAATTTTAATTTTTGGGCGAACTATGTCTTTAATAGATTGCATAAAATAGTAGGCTATATTAACAATATACAGTTACCCAGCTGTACATTAATTTACATTTACAGTTGTAAAGTTCCATTAAGTTTTTTTTTTTTTTTGGCTACTTAAAATGAGCAAAGTCATTTCTGGAACAGATGCCATTGTCAGCCATTTTCGCAGCAGTTGAGTTAATGGTTGGCTGGGACGCTGTGACCCTTGAGGAGTTCTCACTTGAAGTGATCTTACCACACTGTCTAGTTAACCTTGAGCTGAGGTCTGTGGTAAAAAAGTTACATACATTTATTACGCTTACCGGAAACATTAATATGAGGCTTTAAGATCCAAAGCTTTTTGATAGCATCTCATAAAAGAAAATCCCTTACACAAATGTATACCAGAGTAATCAAAGTTTATAACCATATTAAAGAATATAGCTACATAGTCACTATAGTTTTTCTTACTACTGTAAAGCCATAATAGATTAATGCAAGAGTATTTTAGTATTTTGAAAGCTCTTGTAAACTTTTACAAGGTGTACATTTGTTGCTGTTCTAAATAATTGCATTATTTAAGTTATTAATATAATTAATAGAAATTAATATAATTATTTTAATATAAATTTGTGAATCATATGAATTGTTTTATTATTTATTCAGCTGTAAAGAAAAATCTTGAAACACTTTTCTTATTCTCATTAGTTTATTTTATTGCACAATAGAAGTATTATAAGATTTTTTTCTAATTCATTGTTTTCTTAACTCAACAAATACAATTTCTGATTTAAATATACAATTGTGTTAATGTTCTGTATGAATAATATTCTGTAAAACATATATTTTAAAATATTTTCTGCTAAGGCACATTTTATAGTTTCCTAAACAAATTAATATGCGTTGAAAATATTGTATTATTTCAAAATTACCTGTTTTCTTTGTTTACTTGACACATCAAATGTCTCATATTTTGTCTCTTGGTAAACTAACTTTGCATTATTGCTTTGCATTAGCAATAATATTAGTAGGTTTTATTATTGAAAATGTTACTCGGATTTTGAGATGATGATAATGAATGTTAATTTTGCCTAAAATGCTGAGCTAGATTTGCCAAAGGGATAAAATTAAATAAAGAAAGATATGTGAAAAGTTATTGCATACCGCTTATGAAAAAAACAGGAAGAAAAAAACCCAGATACAAAATGGCAAAAAAGTGACCTCATATTTAGTATACGTTTAATTCAAACCATTCATTATACATTTAATTTAACCATTTAATTATTTTTTGTATAAAAGAATAGAGGTTGTAAACATTGATTATTGTAGCGCATTTTATATACGTGTGTACTGTACACTGTCAGAGATAAATCTGTGAAATGACTGGCAGTACATTATCCATTAATTTTACAGACATTTCTGTTAACTATAAAACAAAACACAGTGCAATATAAAATTCAAAATGCAGTAAAGCACATGAAAATGAATATAGAAAATATTGTACCCTATTTTCTCAGATGTTTTGTAGAGTGTAGATCTGACATAATGGTCCACCTCTAATCTGAACTGATAGGCATGAACGCCTCTCAATGGTTCGAGCACAGATCCACCACAATTCAGCCCCTCAGAAGCCCAAGCAAGCACTAACCTCCTCCATGGCTCTGGCACAGGTAGGGGAAGCGCCAGACGTTGCCCAAACCCACACAGAATCCCACGCAGGTCAGCATGTACTGGGCTTTGTTGTCCCACTTGGGTCTGTCTCCAGCCTCCTCCACCTCCAGTCGTTCCAGCTCATCATGGCTCAGGATCCTGTCCTGGAGGCCTGGGTTCGGCAGCTTCAGCTTCAGCTTCATGATCTCCTGGGCTCCCTGTGGTGGGTATCTGTGGGGGAATCTCTGATGGTGTCGACAGCAGGGAGCTGTGGGAGATGAGGACCGTCTGAGTGGATGCAGGTAGTATATGTTGTGAACTTTGGCATCGTCCCACCAGGCCAGTGAGTCACGGAGTGTCTTGAAGATGGGGAAAATGTCCTGTCAGCTGAATGTGAAAAGAAGGGCTGTGACTGAGACTGAGCATGGCAATAATTAATGTCTTATCAGAGATTGAGAATCTGATTACATGTACATGTCTCTGCGTACCCATTCTTGTGGTTAATAACTAAAGATAATGATTTTTACGGCACTTTGGAGGTAAGTCAAAGATCCTTAACAGTCCCATCAGCACACAAAGAGTAGAAAAAAGTAACTTGACAGATAATATATGTATTCAGTGTGCAGTACACTCTTAAAAATAAAGGTGCTTCAAAAGGTTCTTCAAGCGATGCCATAGAAGAACCATTTTTGGTTCCACAAAGAAACATTCAGTCAAAGGTTCTTTAAAGAATCATCTCTTTCTTACCTTTTTGCAATCTGAAGAACCTTCTTTCGCCACAAAGAACCTTTTGTGAAACAGAAAGGTTCTTCAGATGTTAAAGGTTCTTTATGGAACCATTTAGATAAAAAGGTTCTTCTATGGCATCGTGAAGCACCTTTATTTTTAAGAGTGTATAATCAAGTTTTCATTGAGTCATTAAAAGCAGTTCACTTGATAAGGGATGATGTTTTTGTGACTATTTCCTGTGATTCATGTGTGAAAACTGATTATTTTATCAAAAAGCTTGCAATTTGTGATCATCAGCAACTTTCAAATCACGTTTTGTTCTTATTCAGGTATATAGAAATGAAGGAGGGATGACAACTCCTGTTTCCTAAGTTTGTGGTGAGCTTGGTTAAAGAAAATAGAAATGGCAAAATGTTTTTACTGATTTGCATCAAGGTCTTTAGTGCAAAGATTTGTGCAAGAGCAAGGTTTAACTGCAAAGATAAAGAGTGAAGGACAAATAAAAAAAACTTAATAATAATAATAGACTCTAAGAAAAGTCTGTAAAATGGGGTCCAAAGTACTGTGTTAATATGAAGGAATTTTCCATATAGATTTTTCACAGATGATTTATTTACCTGTTTTTTTGCATTGTGGTGCATTTTAGGGTTAAGTGAAATGTCCGAAAACTTACGGCAGAAAATAACCATAAACTTTTTTCTACAGACAGTGTAAATAATAATTAAATACTCTTAAAATTCCTTATTTTTAAAAAATCATTTTCTGGAAGTTTTGGAATCGCTGTGGTGACTTGATCTGATTATTTGATTGTTTTATACAGTTGAAGACATAAAGTTTATAGAAAGTTTACTGAACCTTCTGCAAATCCGCTTAGAGCAAAGGAGTTATTTTTTTAAGGAGCTTTTATCAAATATTTGCTAAAGACATTGTTTGAGTAAAGATTAAGCATTAGTATAATGCAAATAATCAATTATCTGCTGTAGATAAGTTACCAATTAGATAAAACGGCAAGAAAAAAGACAGAAAGATTATGAAATTAACAATAACACAGCTACATATATGTATATATACTGTATATATAAACTATTAATATGTAGGCCTATATACAGAAACCTCCTCTCACTTTCAGCTGCTTTTAGTTCTAACAAATTTCTTAACGTGTAAATATTTGTTTTAACATAAAAAATTAAACAACTGAAACTAAACATGTTTCACAGGCACTTGATGAACAGAAATGGAATTTAGGTGAATGCGCAAAAATTTAAAACTACATGCAGTTAATTTAGATAAGATACGTGTACTACGACTTTTGAGTGTTACATTGAGAGTTATTATATTATTCTGTCACTATATCTGTTTTCAATATTTCTGTTCGTTTACACTGCCCCCTAGCGATAGCTAGCGGTAACACAATAACCACTTTAAAACTAATGAGCAGGTTATGGAGTGAATTTCGTGCCAATATTAATCAAACAAATCCAGCGTTTTGTAAATAAACACAATCTGCTTTGCAAAGAAAAAACAGCTGCTGTTATAGTCAAACAATAAATAAAATATGGGAAGAAAAGAGCACTCACTGAACATCTCGCTGCCTGTTATTAGCGTCATCATAGGGGTGAACTCTGTTATATTTGAGTATAGGAAGAGATTGATGCATAGGCGCAGTTTCACTTTTATGCTTTGGGGGGCACCCACCCAAGCCCCAGCTCCCCCTAAACTCCACCTATGGATTGATGTCTTGCAAAGACATGTTTCCCCTTCAGGAACTCGAGCTGCGTCGTGATCGCTTTGGGAACGCCCTGCGTGACCGCGTTCTGAAGCACGTGTAAAATCAGTCCAATGGAGCAGCGAGACGTCACGAGCGGGGTGACGTGAGCGCCAGGAATTATAAAAGTGCATCCGACAGAGCACAAGTTAGCTTCTGCTCTTCAGTAGCGCTCTGTTTATGTGTCAGTCTATTTACTGTTGTTTGTCAGTCCACAAGCATTCAAAAGAATATGTCAAAGTCTAAACTAATATCTATGGCGAGCAAACGGCATTACAGACGTTGTGTGCTTCCCTGCCCACACTATCTGGCAGCGGGGATACACACGATTTGTGTGTTGTTTGTTTAGGAGCGGAGTATGCAGCTTTCGAGGAGCTGATCGTCATCACTGCGAGTTACTCTAGCTGCGTATGCTCCGCTCTCGCCTGGCTGTGTTTGATGAGGGCGGCCAGGCTCACGATCCCACTGGCAGCGGTCCCGCTGTTGCCGAGGCCGAGGCAAGACTGTTGTCGTGGGGATCGCAGGTGGATTTAGTGGATGGATCCGAGACGGGCTCGTCCTTTTCTCGGTCCTCACCTGCTAGATCCGCGGCTCTCTCTCAGTGTTCAGAAAGCCCTCGCTGCGGTCTCTCCCCCCCCCCAGAGAGAGAGAGCCAGACGCTTCATCTATCTTCATCACTGGATGTGATGAGTGTCGAGACAGAGGAGACCGTGGACTCGCCACCACAGTCCCTCGTGTATGAGGTGTGATTCGTGCAGTCGCCAAAATAAAATATAGTTTGGCCAGCTGAGAAACAGGACGCTCGTCCTAAAAGTAATTATGGGGTGTGATTCGTGCAGTCGCCAAAATAAAATATCGTTTGGCCAGCCGAGTAACAGGATGCTCATCCTAAAAGTAATTAGACGTGCGTTTTCTGAATCCAGATCACAGCTTTCACGACGGGGGCCTTCCGTTTTTCCCCGATCTCCATGCTGAGGTGTCAAGATCGTGGGAGAAACTGTACTCATCCCGTAATTACAGCCCCACAGTCTCTAATTATTCAAGAACATCGTGGGGCTGAATGATAAGGGATATGGGGCGATGCCAGTGGTGGAGCAGA